AAAGACAACTTGTATAATTATAATACAGTAAAACTCGCTTAAGACGCTCTCGCTTAAGACGCTCTCGCTTAAGACGCTGTTTTTCGTCGGTCCCTAGACATTTCCTATACTAGTCAATGTAAAAACCACCTGTTAAGACGCTCAGTTTTTCTCTGTCTAATCGGGTAAAACGCTCTTTTGTTCAGCATATTACGATAAATTTTAGTAGTTTTGTGAAATAAAAATAGAATTTTTAGTATTATACGTGTTCTTATCTAAATGAGACATGCCATGGTGGAAAGTTGAGCAAGGAACGTTTCACGGATTTAGTATGTACAAATTCTACCGGCACCCATAAATTGAAGTTGGTCGTCATTGGAAAAAGTAGGTCTCCTCGCTGTTTCAAAAATGTTCGTACGTTCCCGTATCTACTCCTACAATTACTGCTAGTTTGCAACACCTTTCGGAAATTCGGAAAGTATTATCCTCTGTTGAAAATTCCGAAGAAATGTTAGGTTGTCTTAATAAAATTGAAAACTTTCTTGCTGAAACGCATTGTCAGAACTTAAAACAATCAAAAATAGATAATTTTTTTTAATAAACAATGTATTTCCCATTAAATTATGTTTAATAATAAAAAAATAAACTCGATATTTCAATCACATAATTTTTTTTTTCATTCCCGCATAAGACGCTTTCCCGCTTAAGAAGTTCTAGGGAGCTGGTCCCTTAAAGAGCGTCTTAAGCGAGTTTTACTGTATATTTAATTAGTTAAATAATTATTTATCAAATGTTGATTTAACAACATTTGAACGTGTTTTAATTATTTATTTTTAATTCATTTTTAATTATACAATTATGGTATGATTGAGCAGTCAAATCATTTTATATTGTATTTAATTTATTAAGTTTATTATGTTTATGTTAATTATTTGGGCTAATGGTACTAATTGTAACATTTACTCGAACTGACTGAAATTAATATTTAATAATTTAGTATTGTAGTTTTTACAAAAATAGTAGAAATTTTAAAAATTATAAATTAGTTATTACTTTTATGGCAAACATGTATAAAAATTAAAAGACTTGATAAAAAATTTCCAGAAAATTATTTGTTGTTAATTATGAACAAATGGTCTATAAGGAATTTTCATCAGTTAAAAATATACATTTCTTAAACAATTTTTGATGCTAATTTCAAATCTGCAATTTTTTCTATTAACACTAATTTTTTATATTATTACTAAATTGAATATTATCAAAGATGGGAACCCTAACCTTTTTCTAATGATTTTGGTAAATATATAAAATTAAAAAAAAAATTGAACACAAAAATAGTATGTTTTTTAACTACGGCAGCCTTTTGCACATAAAGGGTCAGGTTTTTATAAAATTGATATCAAATGATAGAGAAATATCAAAGGTTTCTATATATAACAAAAATTATTTTGATTTGTTCATTATTGAAAAGATTATGGCAGTTTTAAGAAAAAACATTGATAGCACAGTGGGTTTTAGTGGGGTATAATATAGACGTAACATAGTTGGGACAAATATAGATGATATCTGATAGTGATTAAAATCACTATCATAAGAAACACTTTAATTGCAGACGAAGTTATTAACCCAACCTCTGACCGTTCGTTCATTTACCTCGTATTAGCTTAATTAGTTTTTTTTTATTTAATAAAGTCTTCTTAATTTAACCTTAACTTAACTTATCTTCTAATTTATAAGGTACGGACGAGGGCCTTGTATAAAGTCATATTATATAATCATGGTTATGTGACAACTTGTCATAATGTTTTGGTGTACATCAATTATCAACAACATAACGCACATCAGTTATAGATTAAATTAATTATAAGTCTACAGTTATTTCCTTGTTTAAATATTATTAGGACATGTTCAAATATGTAAAACATTTTCTTTTTTTAGTATTTTGTAGTAACTTAATTTAATAATGACCCTAAAATTGAAAAAAAACATATTTTTTTCGACTATTAAAAATTCTACTATGATCCACCAATATACTGTCTCACCCAATAATTTGAAGATCCATTTTTTTTTATTTCCATAACACCATGAAAGTTATAAAACATTTAGCCGATGTGGCTAAAAAATTTATCGTTCTTATTATTTTGTAACCTTTCAAAGTAATAATAAAAAACTTGTTATAAAAATAAATCAAATTTCAATCTATACATTTTTCTAAATTACAACCAAAATATTAAGCATGAATAACAAAAGATAATAACGAGAAAATAGTATATAATTTTTTGTATACTAATTGACTCGTGTGTTTTATTTAATATATGCCATTTGAGTATAAAATTAATACAACATACTAATGCGTATTGATTTCATACTTCAGTCCAGTTGATGGTTTTCGTTTTAACGTCCGTTTGATTAAGGATGTGCGACAAGGAGATGGACATCCTGAAATCGTAGCGTGAGGTATTGGAATAGAAGTCAGTAACGGTGGAGGAGACATTATTGGTAAAGGAGCTGGAGCATGTTGTTCTGTTTTGACTGGTGGCAGTGACAGTGAACTTATTTTCGACGGTAAAGTTGGATCTGAATTCAAAGTGGGTTCTCCTACAGATACCTGTATTTCGTGAACCACTGGCAACGATACTGATTCTAACTTTTTTAATGTAAGCTTTTTTCGGACGATTGATTTACCTATTTGAGATTTTCGTAAAGGGTCTGGCGTAGCTTCCAGAAACACGTATACAAAAATGAAATCTTTGATATACACGTTTGAGGTATAAAAATATAATTCGAAAGATAGTATTAATAAATAGAAATGCACTTTTGGGATCAACATTTTCACACAGAAAAAGTATCGTAAAAGGTTACGATACTTTTTAAAAGGTTAATCGAGATAAGCTTCGTAGATTATTTTAGAAATATATTGAGAAAAATTGTTTATAGCCAAAAACATAAAGAAGTAGTCTTAAATGTTAAAACTTACAAATTTTTCAACTCAACTGCCTTTAAAATTTTTTGTTTATTAGTTCGTTGCATAAATTATCGTTTCCATAGTAAATATTTTGATCAGCATAAAAATTAGTTTAATTATCATATATATTTATTTATATATATCATAAAACATATACATTTTAGTAAAAAAATTTTATTGTGAAGAATATTTTTTTTTAAAGCATAAGAGCATTTAAATTGATTATTTGGCTAATAAATTATATGTGTCTTCAAAAAAAGAAAATATATTATCATAATCATGTATTAATTATATTGCAGCTTTGTTTGAGTAATTTTTAACGCGATTAAATTCTATGAAAATATAATTGAACACAAAAGCGTTGCCTAACTTAAGTCTAAAACACATATCAAACTATATTTTCAAATAGTATTTCATACCCAACCAAACTGTACATACAAAAGACTATTTAAAGATACTCAACTCAACAACAACAAAAATTGACTATCTTTGTATATTACTAGTTTATTGTTTTTATATTATATCACTAGAAAAAATTAAAATAATGAAATAACAATAATAATAGTTTGATTATTCTGACCCTCTTTAGTTAATTATAATTTCAGATATAAAATTTAAATTATAACTTATAGTAAACCATTTTCAGCTAGAATATTTTTTTGTTTTAAATTATAGTAAGGAAAATAAGATTTAATGTAACAAATTTTTAAAGGACGCAATAATTCAGGAAAATTTCAAAACTTAAGTTAAAAAATTTTCTACTTTGAATACTCCCTTGTGACCAGGTTTAGTGTCAGATTTTCAATAAAATGAAAGGGAAATATCTATGGTTTTAATAAAAAAAAAATTTATTTTGATTCATTCATTTTCAATAAGTTATGACATTTTTTAGAAAAAATGTCAACATTTCCCGATTTTAAAAATCGTAATTTTATAAGATGTATCGTTGGAAAAATCGATCCAGTGAGAGCTGAGAAAATTTAGTGAAAGACACAAAAAATAAAAAAATGATATACACATCATAGTAAATTGGTACATTCTCAGCTACGCCTCGAAGCTAAAAAAGGTGGGTAGTATACTTAATAAATCACATTGTATATGCAATATGGTGAATATCATGCATGACTCCCCTTGTCTGAATATTTTAATTGAAACCTAAAATTATTATTTAATTATGAAATGGATAGTAGATAAAGCCCCTAAGGATTTCATTGGATTATTGCTTTCTTTAAAATATCCCCATAAAATACATTAAAAGAAATCCTATGTTTTTTTGTGAAATTCAAAGAGAAATAAATATTTTAAAGGTATAAAACATTGTATGTAACATATTTCTATCAAAACAAAAAGATATTAAAAATCTGAGGAAAATGAACATTTTTCTCAATCACTAATGTTTTAGGGAAGTACGAGCATATTAAAAATAGTCTCTATCTTACCACAAAAAATAATTAAATCGCTTTTAAAACGTGATATTTATTTTATATAAATAACTATTACATTGAACTCTGGTTTACTCTGTATATTTAATCAAAACTAAATACATAATAAATTTATATTTATATTTTATTTGGCAAATTTATAGGCTATCTAAGTAACGATATGCTATATTCGGCCTCTATAACTTGAGTAACTATTATTTACACTAGGCGTTTCTTTATTTTAAATAAAATTATCATCTGCAGCATCAATTCTATAAAATGCGTCCTCAAAATCTTTTCGATTAGTCGCTGACTTTCTTCTTCCGATTTTATCTCAATAGCACTTTGAACTTGATCAAACTCGCTTCATTTTTCTTCTATCTTTCGTCTCCTTAATTGTAGTTCATTTATATCGTCGCTATATAATTAATCACTAATGTTTTCCAGAAGTACGATCATATTAAAAATAGTCTCTATTTTACCACAAAAAATATAAATTATAAAAATCGCTTTTAAAACGTGATATTTATTTTATATAAATAACTATTACATTGAACTCTGGTTTACTCCGTATATTTAATCAAAACTAAATATATAACACGAACAGCTATTCAGTAAAAAATATATATTTAACTTGAAAGTATGGTAATAGGTATCAAAATGAATACATTAAGACTTTTCATAGTTTTTTTAAAGTATACTAATTTTATAGTAGCAATTGATTTAATAGGTTTGCATTGTAACTTTTCGAAATATATGTTTAATTATTTCAAGTACGGTGAGCACTATTTGTTCAACTTCCAAAATACAATTTCTGAATTTGAAATAAAAAATTATGGATTAGCAATCAAATCTCACGATGAAATTATAATGATCATGTTAGATGCGTTACGAGATATGGACGAGAAGCATATAGCAGAAGATTTAATGACCATAAATTTATACTTAAATAATGTTTCGGGGTCATTAAACATGATCGCTAAAAATGAAAACGGCGTATTCAGTAGAACTGAAAGCTCTCAGAATTTACTTGAAGGCTATAAAATAATTCATCGATCAATTGTTGAACGATTGGAATACTTTATCAATAGCCAATGTTCACTTGTATCGTTTGAAAATGATTTCATATCATACACCTATTTTAAGGTACCGGATAGTTACAATCCAAATAACTTACTTAAAGAATTGGAACACCTAAAAAATTACATATTTATTATTATTAGAGAATATTTAATGTGGTATGATATGAAATATGATAAAATATTAAGTAGTTACACTGACATTGTAAAACATTTAGCATTGTCTTTTCGTAGGCAATCGTATAGTGTTTTTAATCCTAAAAATGTCTTCTTTTATGATTTAATGGAAACTCGATCTAATTTATGTGAGCTAAAATTATCGTCAGGTTCTCAAGCAAAACAATATGCTATATATAATAGTGAGCAACAACTAGATGATATTTTAGATATGATTCGATATGCTCCGTTGACAATAAAAAGTACAAACAATTATCAAATAAAGTTGTTCGATGTGTTCCGTTTTATAACTTTCGATTTTGACTTATCTAATATACAAGCATTTATAAAATTAGTAAATACAGCAACAGTTCAACCAATAATGTTCATCATCAAATTTTATTTTTCATTAATTAGAAAATTCCTTTTGCATCATGAATTTAAAAATGAGGGATTAAAAAATGATATGAAATACAAAATCATTACTATGGGTCAAAATATTGTTGAAAATATGAAATCGTTTATGGATTTGAATTTATTTGAAGAAGAATTTACAAATTTCATTGAGGATAATTTTAATAAGATGTACAAACTTATTTCATCTTTCTCAGATCAGAATGATTTGTTTATAAGTAAAGAAATGAATTCGATTTCAAAATGTTACTATAATTATCTGAGAAAAAGTAATTTAGTTTGGAATTACATTCAATTAATGAAAGAATTTGAAACAGAAGACAATATTAATAACTTTATTCATTTAGCTACTAGAGAAGTAAAAAAAATTGCTTCATACGTTTCAGAATTGAAAAAATATAAGTATTGTTTTGAGATTGCGAATAAATATATTCCTACGAAATTCATGAATAACCGTACATTTAATCTTATTTTCAGGCGTAATGTGCCATTCGGTTAGTTCACAAATACATAACCAATATATTTTTTCTTACTATTAAACGAATGTTTAGGGTATCTTTTGAAAATTAAAAGGGAATCTATTTAATGGTTAAATGGAAACCTATTATTATTATTTTTTTACTATTACATTGGACATTGACTAAATAAAATTCTTAATGGTCGACTTTCAGTTATGTATCGTACATTACTAGATTAATATAAATATAAGTAACAGGTGAGAGAGGTGCTCAACGTGAGAATTTGGCTATGAGGTAAAATTTTAGCATCGCTGACACTATTCACTATACACAATATGTTATCGACATAAAAATTTTATTCAATCAATTTTCAATGTTACAATAAAAAAATTATAATAAATTTCCTTTTAACTTTTAAAAATCACCCCTAAAATCTAACGTTAGAAATAAGTTTTTCTTACATTTACTATGGTTCAAAAAATAAATAAAATTTCTATCTGTACAAAATATATTTAAAATAACTACCCACTCTATGTATTTAAAATTCTGTAACGGTGCGTAAAATAAAAAACATTGAAAGAACAAAGTTCTTTATAATTTTTTATTTTTTACATTGTAATGTTAAATATAAAAGTTTCCATTTAAGAAGGTTATAAATGAGGATTTTTATCCCCGAGGGCACAAAAATATAAATGATTTGACTACTAATTAAGTATAATTATTGTAGTGTTTTTTGAACCTTATCTCTTGCAAAAATTTAACTCTCAAAAGTTTCTGAAAAAATAAATGTCTTACCAGATTTTGATCACTCTGTATATTTAACTAGCTTAACTAATAGAAAATTATCTAATTAAAAAATGCCAGGTCAATAGCAAGTTTTGAATCCTTATTTTAGAAGTTATTACTATTTTTATATTTATTACGTATTAGGGTATTAATTTTTCAAAAACATTATTATGTAAGAGATATTGAGCAGTAACCTTTAAAATGGATACTCTATATCTATGCCAAAGTTATATTACATTAATAGTAATAGTTAAACGGGGGCTATAGCCCATGTAGCCCTCCTAAGTAACGCTAATGTAATTTATCAATATTTACGATAAAAATATATGTATTTTTTTATATTATTATTATAACTAAAAATTTTGTTTTTAGAACAATTAGGAAATTACGAAGACATATATCGATCTCTTTATTTTCCTGACGCTAATACAAGTGACATAAAACAACATTACAGTGATTATTCAAATGATGAATATAATGAGATGAATAATGACGACAATAAAGATTTGGTTGTGGAAACTCAGACATATAACACTCCTGTATATCTAGTTGATTATTTGCTTTATGAGTAAATTAATAATGAATTTAAAGATAATTTTATCAATAAAACTATAATAATTAATTAAAAACAAAGTTTATTACATTTGTTCACTTATTATAATCTCATTGCATTATATTAAGTCCAAAATTGAGACTAAAGGTTAATTATTTATTGAGCTTAAAATTTTCTGAATTTTGAAATTTGACCCATGACTTTAAGTGAAATAATTTTTCNTATTATTAAGTCCAAAATTGAGACTAAAGGTAAATAATTTATTGAGCTTAAAATTTTCTGAATTTTGAAATTAGACCCATGACTTTAAGTTGAAATAATTTTTATAATCAGGAACAGGTAAGAAGTCATTGATCTTACAGTTTTTTCAAAGAGGTTGGTTCAAAATATAGAAGAGTGAATAGTGTCTTTTGGACCTTTTCTTTCTGATCACAGGCCCATACGCTTCATTTTGAAATTAACAAAGTTAAAACTGAATACTATAGGAACTCTAAAAGAACTAACTAAGATAACTACAGGGCAGACCTTTAACGTGGCCTGAAAACCCTTCAGTTTATATTATGGTCGGGAAAAGTACTAAAAGGACCGTAACTGATTTTTTGAATTGCATCGGTTTGTTATTTATGCAAAACTGTCCTTTGATAGAAAGAAAAGGTATAGAATAGGGTGTATCTTGATGAAACGCTATCCTACCAAAATTAAAAAACAGATCTCGAAAATTCATAAGAAAAGCAATGAAATCAAGAAAAAAATTTGAAATGTTTGTAAAAATAAAAATTATTTTTTTCAAAAAAGAAACTTAAATTTTTATTAAGTCAAAGATGAAGTCTCTTTCAAAAAAATTGTAAAACAAAATTATTTTTTCTATCATATTTATAAATTAAAATTAACCGTCAATTTACAAAAACTGAATAAGAAATTAATTAGATAAAAAATTATTTTTTAGCTTCAATGCGAGGCTCAGAAGGTTGGGGGAAATCTTAAAAAAAATTACAATTTTTCAAATTTTATTACTTAAAACTGCCTCAACAAACCATTGAAGCAACATTATTGCCAGACGATCACACTTAAAAGTAAAGATGACCAACTTTGTTTCGTGTTTTACACACACCCTTTTTGGATAAGACATTCCTTCGTATTCATACAATACCAAATGTGCATTATAAATAGTATAAAATGTTATTGTCGCTTACCGAACATTGATTATGTGTAAATAAGTAACACCCCACGTGATTTCTGTGCCTTTTTCCCTTTACTTTTTAAACTGGTTTGTTCAAAAGCTGTTATGGCATAATAATTATTTTTAATTATTGTATGTACAGACAAATCGTTCTTCTTGTTTTGTCTGTTGTTCGGCAACTGCAGCTTTGGTTGTNTTCTAATCAGGAACTGGTTTAAATAATAATTATTTTTAATTATTTTATGTACAGACAAATCGTTCTTCTTGTTTTGTCTGTTGTTCGGCAACTGCAGCTTTGGTTGTGTAATCTGATCAAGTCTTTATTTTCGTTTCACTTCAATTTAACCGAAANTATTTTCGTTTCACTGTTAAGTCCTAATATTATATTAATTCTGTTCTCAGTTTTTATTTTAGTCAACAAATTAATTATTGAAACAAAATTCATTTGTCACGAAACAATTAAATAAATATTAGGGTGACCCTTAGCTACATGAGAAGTTTTTTTTTTTTTAATATTTGTAAATGCCATCCCCTAGAATTATTCGAAAACATGAAAAAATAAATTGTACAAAATTTGGAGACGATTGGTCAACTCTAAGACGTGCCCCAAGGGGGTTAAAAATAACCCCCCAAGGGTGATTTTTTAGTTTTTTATGTCTATNCAAGGGTGATTTTTTAGTTTTTTATGTCTATCTCAAAAACTTTAGCTATTGCGAAAATGTTTATTTGGACTTTTTTGTAGATATACAATTTTTCTATAAAAAGTATTTATACAAAAATTTTCGAAAAGTTTTTATTTAACCCTAAAAAAATAAAAACGTATATGTTCTATTCTTACCTTTGAAATTGTTAATTTATAAATTATTGTAAAAACATAAAAAAAACGGTAGCACAGTGGGGTCGCGGCATAGTGGAGACATTGCATAGT